TGAATTGATAAACTGCGTGCGCATCCTAACCCAAAAAGACGGAGTAAGTTAGACGATCGAACTAAACAGCCGGACGGAACAGCCGGACGGAGTAGCCGAACTAAACGACCCAATGAAATAATTGGACGATAGGGACGGTCGAAATAACCGAACGGAACGATTTAGCTGATACGAACGAAACAGACGAAACATACGAACGGTGCTCGAACGGTGAACGATCGCTTTCTAGACGCTAGACTACCGCTAACCGCACGCAAGCCGCACGCAGAACGAACTGAACCTAGGTGGATACTTGGGCGTAATTCTAACTGTACCATCTCGCTGTTACGAGAACGTTACACCTCCACAAAACAACCAAATATACCACTGTCTCCATTTTCTCTTTTTTTCTAGCTTTATCAGTGGTATACATGTATGTATAATCTCCATAATTCCACATATCGTCGAACGATTACTTTGATACTTGCATACAAGTATAACAAAACGTTTTTGTGAAAACGAATTGTGCCAAGCCTCCACAAACCAAAGGCATGTTGACCAACCTGGATTAGGCCGACACGACATGCTGACGGCGCCACTGGGTCCCGGCCAAGTCCCGTATGATACCGATCTCCAGACGACATAATGGCAACTGCAGTTCGGGACTTCATAGCGCAGTCTGTTTATTGATTGGTCAGACCTTCTTCACACAACGATGTTCCACATGATTTAAACACAACCATATGTGTGTCCTGTGATCTCGGAAACTATCACCATCCTTTCAAAACAGAAAATTCTATTCAACGAATTCATCCTTTTGGATTGGATTTTATATAACCTTTTGGGTCGTCACATTGTGGATTTTGTTTAGAACTTGAATAAATAAAACAATTTCAGTAATATCTAATTTAAATCATTTCAGGTCGATGACATGCATTCAATATATTTTCAAGAATGTATATTTAATTTACAACAAAAACTTTATAAGGATTCTTGGATTAAATGTTACAAAATTAAAGCAATCGTTTACTTTTTCCATTTTTTAAATTTTCAATCATACTTTTACGGTTCCTTCATGGTTACCTTAAATGGTATCAAAAACAACATTACACAGGACGGGAAACGGGTGGTTTTAATTACCTCAGAGGATTAGAGAGAGTTGATTTTTGCTTGTGTTTGCCGACCAACATTTCGTTATTAGAATCAGTTGGGTTTTTGTTTGTTAATTAATTCTTTGGTGTTAGTTTTCTGTTAAAATTAACGTTTGGCAATTAGCAAAATAGCTTAAAGTAACGTTAAAAAAAATTGAGATCTGTTTTCGCGCAAATTTCTAGAATATAACATTTGGTATTTCCCAGCCGGGTCCTGTTCTCACGAAAATACCGAAACTAAAACAATTCATACGTTCCTTCTCGGAAAATATGTATGTGTTGACGTACATTATATATGCGAGTGTTTACTAAACTGGCTCAGTGTGTGACAACATCAGAGCAGGTTATATCTATGCGCAGTCACATATGACACCAAAAGACATAACAGTCCGGGGCTGCACGACCCACATTGGTATTCTATAGGGAGCCAACAAAAAACCGTTAAATATCACATTGTTGTTGTTTCGTCAAAAAGCGTTGGCTCATCAGCAGTACGTGTTATAGTGACCATTCCCGACGTTGCTATATACTATAAACAATCCCACTAGGACATTTTCTGGCGGCTATCAGACGTGGCAAGGGCTTGCCCTAGAATTGCCGCTCCACACTTGAGCTAATATTCCATCAATTTGTCGAGCGTTTCTCCTATTTCCCATTGTAACTATACATGTACATCTATTAGCCTACGTTCCAAATTGACGAACGGCGTAATTAACAGAGACAAGGGAAATGACTTTGAATGCTCCTTCATGATGTAGGTGTCAAAAGCAGTACCGGCATGGCCACTTCCGATAATGACTACGTCAGCCATTGTATTTTGAGCCATCAGTATCACCAGGACGCCGCTGTCGTGGGCGACAGAGAATGAAACTGATTTTGAACGCCGACATATTTCAAAAAGTACATGTTCCGTTTATGCAAGACATTGCGTCAATCATACTTCAATATCTTTATATACTTTGAATACAGAATACAATATCCGGATTTAAATTTGTTCAGCCAATAAAAGAAAAATCTTTAGATGAATAATTTGTCATTCGCAAATCATTGTATAAAAAAACAGATTTCCAAAACCTTTTGACAAAGCATACATGTTGTACTAAATTCAATCAAAACTCCGATTTCAAAATGTATTTTCAATTACTTTGCAGTTGTAGAAGACCGATGGAAGCAGTGGTGGGGATATGACCTAATGGCAGGTAAGTTTCTGTAAGGTGTATCGCCTCGCATTAGCTAAATATTGTTCCCTGCAGGTAGGGCGTAAGCATTGAATCTGCTGCCCCCGTTGCATGATCGTAAGAGGCGACTAAATTTTGGATCTTATCCTTTCTCATCTTCCTAAACAACCTTCTTCCTAATGTCTCCCTTGACAATGCCTCACTTTTGGCCTTTAGTTGAACGTTCGCACCTGTGAGGAAAGCTTTGGGTTCTGTCCCCTGGCCGAAACATACCAGAGTTTGTAAAAATGGTAGTTTCTACTCCTGCTTAACGCTCAGAAATTTAGGAGTGGAACGATTGGTTCGCCCGTTGTCAGTATAATGTGACCGGGTGGGGTGTCCTGCTGGGTGTCTTTGGCCTTATGTGTCAGTGAGATAGCACTATACAGTCGGTATCAGTTCCGCGCTATCACAAGGAGACAAACTTGAACATATCGCAGCCTCCCAAAACACACGCATACACTACACGCATGCATCTTGCACACAAGGGAGGCCGTCCTTAAATGACCATAGCTGTTTACATCCTCGATATCCTTGTGTTACGCTCACTTTCGCTCTTTACACCCCTTGAATATGTCATAGCAAAATTGAATGCACGAACATAGATGTTTTGATTGGTCTTAGGTTAAAGAACACTGACCAATCGCTTGGCTGATACCTGTCATTTGAAAATCATAATGGAGAGACGCACAACTTTAAAGCCTGTCATGTTTTACCGTTACGTGACCGCGAGATTCTTTTGATGTACATCAAATGATCGAACTAGTCTTCTTGACTCATCTCATCGCACACTGAGCATTCAGTTTTGCTATGACATATCCCAGGGGTGTAGAGAGAGAAAATGAGCGTAACCCTTCGATATCGAGGATGAGCTATTGATAGGACGTTAAACAATCCTAAACAAACAGCTAAATATTGACTTTGATGAGACGTTTTATACTTCAATATAATGTTCTGGTGTAACGTTTGTCCGAATAGGGTTTGGTTTTCTTTTTATGATAACGCGTCCTTTTAATAACTCATGCCACTTTAGGATATGCCATGCCCCCGATTCCTCCACAATTCCGTGTCCTTCTAAGGCCATGTGATAGTAAAAGACCTACAACAGTAAAATGTTTGCTCTCTAGTTCGGTGAAACAGGATTTTTGAGGATCCATGTAAAACATGACACGATCTCCATAAAATGAAGGTGTCATTAAGCCGTGTTTAACATATAAAATGTCCGCATCTGGAAGGCAATCAGTTCTCATGTCGGTACATACAAAAGTCCTTAAAAATGGAAGTTGTTATTCCCTATTTGACGTTCAGCCTTTAGGTTAATGGCTACAACTTGTTCACCCTTTGTTAGTATAATGTGACCAGGCGGAATGCGGTGTGAGGTGTCTTTGGCATGGTATTTCAGTAAAATAACACTACAGAGTCAGCATCAGATCCGCGCTATCACCAGGAGGCAAATGCACCAACATACCCTACCTCCTGCACACATACATACATGCACAAATACACAACACACATTGACATATTTCCTTAAATGACCTTAGCTGTTGATACGACGTTACAATCTGTTTCAATTTAAGAAAAGTTGAAAATGACAACGAATATTGACATTATATCGCTTTTTCCCGTCGGTTTTCAGTACCAACCAGTTATAAATTGACTTACAAAACAATGGCGAATGTATTAGGCTCTCTGCATTGTATTACCAAATATTTTAACAAGGTGCTTCCTTTCCTCGAATTCTAGTTGTAAGTAGATAAGATGTTGGTGAGATTATTCATTTAGGAGGACCGGGGGATGCTCGACGGCATGCGCGTATGATCTGATGTGATTTATGTTAATAAAATGTACTACTACTATACCATACAGCATTTGATATAGCGCCCTATCTAGCTAACATAAGCCACTCTAAAGCGCTTTATAGTACATAGATATGCAATTTTATACAGTCAATACAATTAGCTTATATATTAATCAATACAATATTGAGGATTTCGCAGGAGCTGCCTTATCAGGCGCTAACTACTAGTCCTATGCCACCTGGCTATGTACATGTAGTTCAACAAAACAATTTTTTCGGGTTGACGTTGTCTTTTGCCCTTTTCGTTCGTTTGAGTTGACTATCTTGGCATGTTAAGGCCCTATTTACCTATTTTGTTTTATGGGCCGTTAAGAATCAAATAATAATAATATTACTCTTAAAATACCTAAATGCAATATATATTATCTGTATAAGGTAACCATGGTTACCAACAAAAGCATCCAGTCTATCACTGCGTTTCGTATTTAAATAGGTTGTTATTCCCTATATATTTTTATTATTGACACCAGAAGTCTGAACAAAGTCTAAAACGTATGTATTTTCAATTTAAGTTTTTGTGGGATTCCTTCCTTAAGCTAATTGTACCTAAAACTGCTATAGATAATAATCTCTTGTTAAATTGCCATTCAATATCAGCCTCGTTCTGACCAATGCTCTTATACGCATATAAATAATCACATTTACAAATCTGTTACAAAAGATATTTACTTACTATTTGCTGTCCATATTAAAACCAACAAAGGCCTCGATATCTAAAGTCAATTCAACATCAAATTAACTCTTTATTTCAACTTTGATTAATGTTGTTTCCCTATTTTCAATCCCCTAGTATACAAACAGGAATCGTTAGGGATTTAATTTTGAAAAATGAACAAAATCCAAGTTGTGTTATTAGATGTTCCGTTCCTAATTATTTTGTCAATTTGACGTTTGAAAATAAGGGCTTTGGTACAAAACGCAACACCGGACAATTTTGCGTTGAAACTACAAATTAGGCAAATGTCAAACGTCGATCTGAATCGGTAAAACCCTAGAATGGAATGAAATTAGTACCACAAGGGATTGACCAGTAATAAAACCCACATGCTTGTATTTTACTCCAGGAAATAGTTTTTCAGACGTGAGAGCAGCAACGCCTTGCAAAGCGGGTATTGCTTTTTAAACTTCGACAGGCTACGTAACTTGCGATACTTCGATATGTTAACAATGCTTACATGGTATTACCTTCAATTGAAGTGATGCTTGAATGTTATACCTACTTTAGACACTCGTTGCTGTCATTACATTCTGTCGTACACGAGCAACGGGCTGTATGTTCAGGAAGTAGAAGTGTACATGAATGTATGTTTGAAAATTGGGTCTTTTCATTTTAAGACTGTTTACTGATGATCGAGCAGCTTTAAAGTGTCATCACACAGAAATGTCATAACCTCAAGACAGATACTCGACACTTCATCATATCACATTATATTGATCAATCCGTCCCAACCTTTCAAAGATGCACGTCAAGCATTCATAGCACATACATAGCAGAAAGTACCTATTTTGAGAACAGGTGAAGGTTCGAGGAAAGAAAAGGCCTGCTATATCCCACTGCATGTGTATCGTGAAAAGCGAGTAATGTGGGGTCCCAGCATAATAGGGGTTTTTCTTCCGTGTGCCCTACGAATGGGACACAAATTATTATTAAGTTTCCTGTCGTCGTTCTTTTCTATGTACTTTCTTTCCTCGTGGTGTCTCATAGGCACCCGTTCTCATTTTTACATGGCTGTTTGCGATCGATCGTGGTATTGCCAAGCAAGGCGAAAGGGGAGCAAACAGAGAACAAATGAGCTGCAATTGGTTTCACATATTTATTTTGGAGATTTTCGTTTCCCCAAATGTACGTGCTTGTAACATCCTCACATTGTTAGCTGGACGTTCATGTAGGAAGACTGCTAACCGATATTGTCCATGGTTATTGCAACATCCATTCACTGATCATGCACTAAAAGGCCAAGGAATATCGATTACACTGTTAAAAGGATTTTATTGACCATTCCTGGTTTAAGGGGTAAATGTTAGTTGAACATAAAAGTTTTGTTAATTACGTGTCAATCAAATCAGTGGTTTCTTACTTCGACTACAATTTATTCTCCTACATCTACTTGTGGATTCAATGTCCTAGCAAAAATGTAGGTTAGACACAAACTACTTCCATCATATCCATAACGATCTCTTTCATGTCTCTTAAAGAAAATAATAAAGAAATCTTAAGTTGCAGTGGGTTCGGATATTAGATAATAAGTGACATAAACCAGGTCAAATGTAACTCCCCAAGTGAGCAACATACAGAATAAATGCGAGTCTAGCAGATATACAGGACAAGGTATGATGTTTGATCCTTCGTACATACTGTATAATAAATCACGTTCTCTGGTTCTTGCTTAACAAGTTATACGAAAAGTTTCGCCCAAATACAATTTTGCGATTGCTTAATCGTTAGCTTATGTCGGTTTAATCATTCACTTTGTCTGACAAACCTATATCAGAGGAATCCTTACAATTACGTAGACAGCATTAGTAGACAATAAACTTTACTTTTGAAAAAAATGGGTCGCAAAGTAAGATTCAGCTTTCTATTAACAGCTTTGATCAATTGAGGATGTTTTTCCATGTGTGTTATAAATGTGTGTATGCCGGAAGTTGTATGTTTTGTGTATTTGCCTCATTGCGCGTGCGTGTAACTGATGCCGACTTTGTAGTTCCACCAAGCACAGCATTTAACCCGGCCACACAATATCGATAGTGGGTTAACCAATTACCCGAAATACTGAACGTTTAGTAGGGAATAACAAATACCCTTTAACAAACAAATATCTTTGGTAGTTTCCATCCTCAGGCATGACCCCTTGCCTTTCCCATCTGGGTGAACGTTGCCGAAAGAAAGGAAACAAAACATGTTTCATAAGACAAATGGAGAAATATCAAGATTCCAAATTCTGCAATGGATGCAGCAGATTTAATTTGGTCGCTTTTGAAAATCGTCATTGTTAAATAAATTACACAAGCTAATATCTGCTCCGACCACTCCACTACAAGAAAGTATTAAAAATCAAAATGTTAACAACATTATCACACAAAACATTGCCATTCGTATTAACAGAGTTTAGTGTTCTACTAC